ACCCCATCACCCTGCATTGCTAATAAAGTTTCCACAATGTAGCTTTCTGCCAGGAAAGTTTAATAGCAATTTTCCCTAATACTTAACAGTCTGCCTAGCAACTAGAACCCAGAGTCTCTCAAGTATTTTGCCATTGAGTATGCCTTCTTATTCAATCCGCCTCCATGGACCCCTTCTTTGCCCATTACAAACACCAAGACTGAAAGAGAAAAGAAAAGTTTTACAAAGCAGTGTGTTAGCAAAAGAATTATTCCAAATTTTAATAAAGCAGCTCAACATATTCAAATACTGCATATTAAAACAGTTATCTACCTAGCATTACCATCTTGTATTGAACATTATATTTTTTCAGAATAGAAAGTATTGTATGAAAAAATGTTTGACAAGACAAGCAGTACAGAGGAACATCCTTCCTTTCTAATAAGAATCATGTAACATGTTTTGGGCCAGAAACATCTGCCTATGTCTTCCTGCAAGGCAACAATACAGATGAAAGCATGTTATGATACAATTTATAGTTGAGAGTAAGTAGAATGAATGAACTTATTACATCATCTTCGCTCTGTCCAATACTCTGTCAGTCAAGACTTAGGGTTGTTCTCAGTACAAAAAAATCCCAAATGGCAAAGTCCAGAAGATCTTTCACAATATATTCACCTGCATATACAGTTGCTTGCCAGCAGGTGTCACTGAAATATATACTAATTCTGCACTCAAGACAATCTTATATTCTCAGAGTATATTAGTATCCATTTATAGATACATCTACCTCTTCTCTATGAGCTGAATCCTAAAAATAGATTTGCCTCAAAGCAACTTGTAATTAAAGTTAACCCAATCCAAAAGGCAAACCTTTCATCTAAAAATTGAAGCCAAAGATAATGGATAGTTCAAAGAAAAAAATTATGAATTAACTCATAACTTGGAAACAATTGGCTGTTCCTCCAAAAACTGTATAGGATATGGCTGTCAAAGAAGCTCTTTTTAAAACACACGCATTAACTGCCACCCTGAAGTATGGGTCTGAAAGGCAACATTGCTTCTTTAGAAGCTGACCTGTGTTGTTATTAGAACAATAGAAGTTAGCAGAACTGAGAAGAAGTTAACTACAATCCATTCAGCTGAACTGTATATATTTCTCCAATTCCACATAAGTTTGCTATGTGCTCCAGGATTAGAAGATCTTGTTTGCATTTTATTTTACTTGCAAGAATTCATTTCAAATGCTAGGTCTTTTGCATCCTGTAGACCAGCCTTCTCCAACCTGGTGTCCTTCAGAAGCATTTGGACTGCAATTCCAGAATTCCCATCCAGCAGGGTCACTGACTGGGAATTCTGGGTATTGTAGTCCAAACATGTCTGAAAGGCACAAGGTTGGGCAAGGCTGATGTAGACCAACTCTGCATAAAGTTAAAACTAGATAATTTCATAGACATTATAGGGCAGCACAAACAACGTAATTTAAAGCCTGCATATTTGATACTATTTAAATAACAAAAACACCACATCAAGTATTAGAAGTTCAAGCTTACCTCGAGCGGCTCTGCCTACAGCAACATTATACGTTGGCTCGCCACCTTGGCTCTTTGTCCTGATGTCCATTGTACAGTCACCATCCACATAGAGGCTATCTCTGATCACAGAGCACTTCTTTGCACCAAGAGTTAGACCGCTGGTGAAGAAACCCTCACGGTCTTTTCCTACAATCATATCTATTTCTGTAGGCTGTCAAAAAGAAAAGTCCAGAAAGTTTTAAATCAAGCTCTCATATCTGGTTTTTGAGGAAACTATATACAATGCTTAAACACAGGGACGGTAATCTAGTATAAAGAACTGAACAGGATCCAAGGAATCATCCTTGGAAGTCTGCTGCTGGATAAGATTAAGGAAATAACTGAGTGACAAGTTAAAACAATCCTGAAGAGTCAGCACCAAATAGGTTTTTATTAAGTATGAAAAACATGGGCAGGCATCAACTTTGAATGAACAATTTTGGACATGCACTGAAGGAGAGAAGATTAATGAAGTTATACTAAGGCTTCATAATGTCTATAGGACACTTCCTATTAAGTTCCACATAACTACAACTTTAAGGCAGAAGGCACAGCTGGCTTATGATTTATATGCCACATGGACACACAATGCAGAATCATCTCTACAGATCTCTACTTCTATCTACAGGGGTATCTGGAGGCTTCAGCAATACCAGTAAGCTATAGTTAAAGCATACTGAAGATTATTGTTCACACTGCTATGCATTTTTCTGGTTTTTTCCCAAGCAAATTATAAAGCTTACATCTCAAGGCTGAGGCCATTCACACAGAAAATACAGAAGTTTTGCTGAAACTCAGGAACTCAGTATGGAAGTGCAATGCTACAGAAACATGGGGGAAATTAAACAGTTCACCATGTAGAGGCATTTGGTGACACAGGAAGCAGTTTAGCTATGTATCAGTCCCTCATCTCTGAGTTCCTATTTGTTCATATAATATAGGGACTGGGAATGGGAAAAGACAGCCTGACAAGGTAACATGTTCCACAACAGAGTGTGATGGAAGTGGCATCTCCTTCCAATAGAATTGCAGAGTCATAGCAGGCCCCAGCATAGCAGGCTCCAAGCCAGGAGTCTACCCCCCAACATCTGAAAATCAGAGAGAGACTAGCTCAGTAGCTACCAAGGGCACTGCTTTTTAACCCACTCCTATGCCAATTTAGGAGACAGGTCACTGCTAAGCCATGCTTTAACACTGGTGGTACCCACAGCATAACCTTCTGAATCATTCTGAAGGAGTGCAGACAAGGGGAGAAGAGTGCTTTTGCAGTTGGAGTGAGCTTGCTTTTCAATATGGTTTACCAGCATGGACAAACAGTCAGAGAGCCAGAAAGGTATTTCGGGGAGGGGGGAGAGATGGTCCAGCCAGTCACCACCCCAACTAAAATGCAAGCCCAAATTGCATACCAAATGCACTGACAAGGAAAGGGGGAGGCCTTGTAAGCACTTATGCAATTCCAATGTACATTTCAGTACTCTTGCCTGCAGATATTATATAGCTGGGTCAAGCAAGGGAATACACAATATGGAAGCGTTTTACAGGGATTTTTCCTCATCCATTTTTATAAGATCTGCGATTTACCGTAACAGTTTATGACAAGGCTAAATATGGAGGGTGGTGTGGGGGAGAAGGATGGGAGGAAAAAAAAGAAGAGAAGACTGCAGTGCAGAAATGGGGGTGATTAATATCTCGGGAGTGGAAAGAAAAAGAGAGGTTAAAAAAATAGCGGCAGTGCGCCATCTTGGAAGTGAAAAAACATAGCCAGTGGCGATTCACAAAACCTCCTACGCTAGATTCGCAAATCCCTCCCCAGCAGCGCGGACCATAGTTGAGGGAATCCTACGCAAAGCCTCTTCAAGAACCATGCCCCCCCCCCTTTTCCCCGTGCCCGGCCTTTTCCCTCCTCCTCCCTCCGCCGTATTGCCAGCTATTGCTTAGCCCAACGCCTGCAGTTAAGCAGTCCCGTAGCCTAGCATACAAAGTAGTTCTCCGGGAAGCCTTGCCTTAGTCTTGGGATATTCCCATCCTTCCCTGGTCCTACATCCGTGTATGCACATGAAGATGGGGAGGGAACCCCAAGGAAGTCCTGCAGTAATAAACTAAAACCCGAGCCTTCCCTTTCTCCTTCTGCCTCTCTCAGCTTTCCAGATCAAGGGCTTTTCATCATTCTATCTCTATCGTTACTTGGAAAAGCAGCCCTGGATAAGGAGAGGGAAGCCACCCTGCAGAGGAGCCCAGGCCTAATTAGCGCAGGCTTTCTGTTCAGAGGCCCCTTCCCATTAAAAGCGCTTTTACGGCCGTCACACGCTTGGTTCGGGAGGGTGGTGGGTGGATGGGGAGAAAGCGGAGAAGCCACAGCAGCGAGAAGCACCCGTTGCCGTTCACACCTTCGCTCAGCTGGGCCTCCCCTGCCGTTTCCTTTTCTCGCCCCCTTTTCGTGGGGTGCGCGAAAGCGGCTCGGCGGAGCCAATGGCCGCGGCCAAACGCGTGTCGTTGGGGAAGGAGAGCGCAGGCAGTAAGCGGCCCCCGCCCCGCCCCGCCCCCTCCCGGTATTTCTTGCCTTGCCACCCGTCTTTCAAGCATTTATTTTAAGGGGGGGGTGCGGATATGGAGATGAAGGAGGGAGACTGAGCAATGCGGGCACAGGACAGCGGCAGCCCTTTGAACTCCTACCGCGGGAGGGAAGCGCCCTCCACCTACGGTGCGTGCATGCGAGAGAGAAAGGGCTGCCCTTGCAATCCCTCATGGCATTAGGAGCCTCTCTGCAACTCCGCTCTGCTACAGCTGAAGCTCCAGTACCCCCTTCGTCCCAAAATCTCAAGCCCAGTCCGCCCGCCTTCTCTTCCAGGGAGATAATGCGCCCACCCAGTTCTCCCCCTCCCTTTAAGCCAGCAGCTATTCTTCATCCCCTCCTCCTCTTAGGAATCCAATGGCTCCCCCACTCGACCCCCTCCCTCTTCTTCCCGGGCCCCGCTCGCCTTCCCTTACCGTAATGTTCTGAAAGATGCCCGCGGCCGTCGCTGCCCAGACGTACTTGGCGTCACAGTAGCCGACAATGGCGGCCTCCTGGCAGCAGCCATCGCACATCAGGTTATCCACGTAGCTTTGCCAGCCTGCCATCTTCGGCTTGCGCCTGGTGGGTTGGAGGGGACAGGGGAGGAAGCCGGGACTCGACAGGCAGGGCACGGCAAGGCGGCCGGGCGGGCGGCCGGGCAGGCAGGACAGGAGAGAGAGGAAAGGAAGGGAAGGAGGTGAGAGGAAGGGAAGGAGCAGGCAGGAGGGAACAGCCCCGCGGCAAGCGGATTCTCTGTCTCACGGACGGACGTAAAGGAAGCGAAGAAGGGAGCGAGCGAAAAGGCAGGCAGGCAGGCAGGCAGGCGGGGGAGGGGACCGAGGGGGTGGGTCCACCTGAGGCGCTTGCGGCGGCGACTGCCGCGATGGCCGCCCGCCCGCTTTTTAACAGCAGCTTCCCGCAGGCAGAGTAGAGGCCGCTAGGCAGCGCCCAACCGACCCCGCAGCGGCGAGCAACGTGAGGAGAGAACGCGCGCGAGCCGCAGGGGGAGGGGGAGAGGCGGTGGGGACGAGGGCAGGCAAAGAGTGCGGACCGCCTCCACGGTTCGCCTCGCTCTCCGCTTTGCCGCGGAGGCTTCTTTGAGAAGAATCCCTCCGCCACCGGCTACTGGCGCCGGGCGGAGTGATACGTTGCGTCCGCGCAGTGTAGCTGCCAGGCGCGAGGGGAGGAGGGGGACGTGCTGGTGCTGCCGCTGCTGCGCTTAGGGGGACTGCTGGACACCAGCTGGCGCCTTCTTCGCGGTGGATGCGCTTGCGGGCTCGGGCGGGTGAGGACTCGTGGCAGCTGCTTGAGTAAGGGTATGTGCCTGCGGTGGAAGATGGGGAGAGAGAACATTGGAGGGCTCCTTTCCCCAAGTCTGTGAGTCTTTACCTGGCTTCCCACCTTTTCCGAAATAATTTTCTACTTCCACCCCCGCCATTATTGTGATTGCGATGGTGATGGAAAGCCCTGCCTCCTCGTTGCTTCTGTTTGCGTTGTTTTGGAAGCGCTTCCCTGTCCCTTCACAGCTGCGCGGCAAGGCAAAAGTCAGCGCGACTAGCGGCTTTCCCCCGTGGGGCGATATGCAAGTGATGGAGGACGCCTCACCTGTTGGTTTTACTGCCTGTCGTGCAGCTGTTAAAGCAGATGAGGTTTGCCCGACAGCTGTGGGAAAAGGCGTGCTAACAGTCCTGATAACAGTTATGCTTAGCATATGGCAGGCAGGAATAAGCGGTTTTTGTTTTTGTTTTTTAATCTCTACAGCACTTACTGAGGATCGGGCTGTGTTTGGAAGATGCTTCTTCCTAGCTTTGCTATATGTGTGCATTGGGAAACAAACCTTAGACGAGTTGCTTGCAAGACAGGCTGATTCTGTCGACAAGATGTTGACTTGGAAGTAACTAATTTTAATGGCAAGTTGAGCTTTAGGTCAGGATCTTTGTCATTCACGTCAAGTCCTGAACATATTTACTCAGTAGAATTCATTTCAGTACAATTTCCTTCTAAGTAAGAACATGTAGGGATGCTGCTTAAGACACAATCTGAAGTCATTTCTGAGAGTCTTCAAGGAGACTTGCAAGAGTAAGTTGTTTGTAAATAGAAACTTCTATCATCTTCTTGGCATGGATTTCCAGATGATTATTTGAGTGTTCTATAACTTTGAAGCAAAAGAAGAAGATATAGCATGCTCCAAAGAGTTATGAGGCTTGCTTACTTGTGGAACGTTTCCTTCATAAAACCTCCTGGATGGAAGTACAGCCTTGACTTGGTAGGGAAAGTTTTATTAGTTTTGCTGTAGCTCAAGCTTTCTAGTCTGAGTAAGAACCAGCACAGAATTCTCAATGTTATGAACCTTGAAATTGTATATTGTGTTTTGGGCGCACATTTGGAGAAGAGCATCTGTTGAGTTGAATTGCCCCAAAGATTGTCCTCACTTTCTCAGCTGCTTTTCCTTAGAGCAACACTACAAACAATTAATGTAAATGTTCAGCATAACAATGAGGATTCTTTTTTTTTTCCTTTTTTTTTAAACAATGAGGATTTTTCTAGGGAGTGGGGCTTGAAAGAAACTCAGTGTGCCAGATGCAAAACTTTTTTCCAGCCAGAAGTTCAGTGTCCCTGCTGTAGAGCAGTCATTCCAAGAGAAGGCCATAGCCTTCAGTAATACTTGGGTAGACTATTTCAGATGGAACAAACTGTGGTTTTAATGCTTTGGTAATTACTTAGCAGTAATTTCCATTAAAATTAATAGGATTTATTTCCAAGCCTCAGATCTTTATCAAAGTGATACATACAATGAGATCCATAAGCCATTTAAACCAATATACTGTCATATAAGGACTTGCTGCAATGTTGGTGGTTGTTTCCAGAACCTCAGAGTTCTTTTGAGAATTCCATAGCAGTGAGAATATTACTAGTTAGAACTTTTCACTGTGTCAAAGCTTTCAGCTCATCTCTTAAGATTTAACAATTCTAGCCTGTTGAACTGGAACTGGTAGACAACGAAGTGGGTGGGCAAAAGCACAAAGGAGACAGAAATCCCATGATGTGCTCTGCCAGCTAATGATTGCCTTATTTGAGAATAAAGAGGGCCACTGAATCATCCCAAAAGTTCCAGTATCATGTTCCTACAGTGGCCAACTAGATGCATGTAACTAGTATTTAGAAGACTGCTCATCTGCATAAAATGTTTAAAGGACTTCATTCAGTTGCATCTTCAAGCTAGTACTGTTGCAGCATGGTTACGTGTAAATGGCAATGATAAGGAAGGATAGGAAAATATTAGAAATGCCTCAGAGTGTCTCTGAGGCAAGCAAGTATAAATGTAGCCAAATTAATATATTTCCAAGAAGAAGTCACTGGGATTAAGCCAATTGGTACAGGTATGCTGGCCTCTCTAATTTGTGGTTTAAGGCTCAAATACAAAAAAGGGGACATCAGTATGCAAGAAACAACCACATCGCTGGAGTTTTGCTTGTAGTTTTTATTCTCTGGCTGTTACCTCTTCCAAAATGACAAGCTGTTAATCAGTTTAAAAGCACCTTGCCCCCTGTGTAATGGAGTTTGCTACAGCAAAACTGGAAGGAAGGAAGGGAGGAAGATGAGAAGTTGCTGTATAATGACCAGTTTCATATGATCACTACAACCTGCCATGGTTTATTTTAACCACAGTGGGCTGGGGTATATTCCAGCAACATTTTGAATATTTAAGCATTGACTGTCAGTCACCATGGCTTTTCATGACATGTGAATCCAGTGAGGATGGCTTAAATAAGCCATGATGGGCTGCAGCAACTATGCTGGGAAGCCCACTGAGTCAGACTATTAGTCCATCTAGTCAAATGTTGTTGAGACTAACTGGTAGTTCACAGAGCTTCAACAGTTTTTCAGTCCTGCCTGGAGATGCTGGGAATTTAGGCTGGGACCTTGTATGCTTTAATGTAAATTAATATTTCTTTGGGAGGGATCTGTCCCACTGCACTACTGTGCACAGAGGCAGTGCAAAGGAGCATTATGAGATATTAAAAGCCCTTGAGTCCCTCTTCTATCCCCATAGCCTTCCCGCAGTGTTCCATGCAAGTTGCTCTTGCTGCTAAGTACTAGATCACACAATTGCTGCAGCCAACCATGATGGGTTGTGATGTACCCGGATGTCCACTTTGAATATTCAGGCTGTGTCAGGTGGTTGCCATGGCTTACCATGTTAGTTCACCATGGGCTATTTCAGTACTGTGGTTGGAAAGCTAAGCTTCACCCACTGCAGTTTGAATACTCAAACTATTTTAAATAGCTGCTGACACAGAGTGCAACCCACTGTGGTTTAGGCTGCAGATCACGCAAACTGGGTTTATGAGTAACTTGTCCAGCACATAAGCAGAGGGCTGGATCATTCCCACTCTTTTCTGTACACTGGCATTGCTGCATGGAGGAACATTAGAAACAAACCTTCTGACCCCAGGTTCAAGAAACCTGCCTGAAAGCTTGGAGGGGTGTCACCGCTAAACTGTAGTGAGCTAGAAGGACTGATCATTCGACGAGGTATAAGACAGGTTCCACTGTTCCTATTGAACACTGTGGAATTCTTGGCTCTGTATGTGCAGACAACTGGATTCAACTCTTGTTTGTTTATAATCCTGCCTTTCTTTTCAATAAAATTTAAGATGTTTATCAAATCAAATTTCAAATGTGTTAAAACAGACCAGTTGGAAGTGGGCTTTCTCTCTCTCTTCAGAGTAGAGTAACTGAGTAACATTTCTGCCAACCACATTTCCTGTTGGAGGGGGGCATAGAAATTGCAGAAAGTCTTATTCCCTGCAGAACTGTCAGAACATCTGCCTAGAAACAGAATTAGAGGAGACGCAGAATTACACACAGAAATGTGAATGAGTTTATGTAAAATCCTACCCAGCAAGGCACTTGCTTTTCAATGACAAGAATTGCAGGAAAGGAGAAAGCAAAAGAAGCCATGGAAGGGAGAAAGGTTTTGATTTGGGATGTTAAAAAAGGAATAGAATGGGATCATCAACAAAAAAGATAGTGTGCAAGCCCAACCTGCAGAAAGTTGTGGGATAGACAAAATTGGTTTCTCTGGACTTATTTCTAATTTGACAGAATAATTTCAGTTATGCCTTTGAAGATGTATGCTTCAAGAGCAGGCTTTTAAATCTGAGGTTATTCCACACTTCTGTTAGGTATAGCTACACTTGCTGTGCATTATACATTTTAAAAAGCCAAATAAACTCCTTTTGGATGTGTTCTGTTTATTCCTGACCATGTTCAATATATGTAAGCCTTTAAAAAGTATTCATGGTGCCTTTTAGAAAAGCATGCTTTTACAAGGGATGCTGTTCAAGTAACCTAATTCCATGAGAAAGAAAGCATGGCCTGGAAGAGAGGGCAACAAAGTCAGTGCCTGCAGACCCAGAGAGATACATAAATGAGCACTTCCTCTGAAAGCAGTAGTTGGGAGTGATGCCAAAACTCAGTGAATGAAAAAAGACGTATAATTGCAAGCACACAGTATAGTGCAATTGGCTATTTAGAAAATGTCACCAGTGTTTAAAAGCAAGCTTGAATCACAGGCAATGCACCTTTCTGTTAACTTGAATTTCACATATGCTATGCTTCCTGTAAATATGGGTCTAAAAGGGTGCTGTGGCATGTTTTTCAAGCTGACCTCGCTTTTTTTTTTCTTTTTTCCAACATTAAGGCTTAAATTTAAATGAGAATCACTGATTCCAGCATTTTGATCAGAAACATTAACACAAAGGAATTCAGGAAATTCTACACTTGTAGTATTGTTTTGGTTTCTGCTTTTCATTTAATGATATGAATCCTTTAAGCCTAGGGTAGGGAAACTATTTTAAACTTGAGTTTGTGGCCAGTTTTGAATTGGCTAATCAGTTTTACAAAAAGAAGAAACATCTCTGCTCAGTTTCACACATACATAGATATTATCTTCTTTCCACACATGTATA